AAAATGTGGGTAAATATCGGCGGGAAATGTTGGGATCCCGTCACACACACGGACAGACACACACCCTCGGGGGCAGGCTGACACAGTGTGTGTGTCAGCAGCGTTAATGTATTCATGTGACTTCTCTGTGTGTGTGTGTGTGTGTGTGTGTAGGTTCAGATTTACACTCTGTCGGCCTCGCTGACAAACAGACTTTATTTTGAAGAGACGCCAGGTTTAGCAACAGATACAAGAAACACAAAGCTTTTAATTTAACAGATCCTAGACTTCCTGTTTTGGCGTTTGGCGTCCTCGGAGCCGGATCGTTCTGGATGTGGCCCTGCATGTGGAATGACTTGGTGCTAACACGTCGCCGTTCTCTGTGACGAGTGATAATGGTGTCGCGGCGCTGTTAGCACTGAAGGACCCGGTGATTATGAGATCTTTATTTCATAATTGTCAGAGGAGGAAAATGTGATGAACACTTGTCTCAGGACACGATGACACGTCCTGATTTAATTTGCTTTAATTTACTGCTTCATTGGAGACATGAGGCTTCTCTCATTAAAGAGCAGTGACTCTCTTCTCTCTCTTCGTCCCCCGTGGGATCAGCTCCCTCCATCTTTACCTGTCAGCTCGATGGTAGACGAGGTTGGTTTACTGAACGGGACGACCAGGCACCGGCCTAGGGGCCCGAGAAGTCAGGGGGCCCCTGGGCCAGAGCATCAGTATGAAGCAGCTGTTAAAACATGTTGTGTTAAAGTGATACAGCTCGGTTTAAAGACACAGACAACCACAAAGAGACAAAAAACAACCACAAAGAGACAAAAAACAACCACAAAGAGACACAAAACAACCACAAAGAGACAAAAAACAACCACAAAGAGACACAAAACAACAACAAAGAGACAAAAAACAACCACAAAGAGACAAAAAACAACCACAAAGAGACACAAAACAACCACAAAGAGACAAAAAACAACCACAAAGAGACACAAAACAACAACAAAGAGACAAAAAACAACCACAAAGAGACAAAAAACAACCACAAAGAGACACAAAACAACCACAAAGAGACAAAAAACAACCACAAAGAGACACAAAACAACAACAAAGAGACAAAAAACAACCACAAAGAGACAAAAAACAACCACAAAGAGACACAAAACTAACACAAAGAGACACAAAATAACCACAAAGAGACAAAAAACAACCACAAAGAGACACAAAATAACCACAGAGAGACACAAAATAACCACAGAGAGACACAGCTGTAAATTCACTGTATTTCTGTCTCAGTGAGTGATTATGAAAAGATAAACACCTGTGCACCGACAGGTGAGACCGATCAGAGAGATGTATCCTCTGTGATCATGAATATTAGTTGTTCTACATCAGTTTAAGTGACTTCACAGTCAACTCTCACTTTTTCCCAGGACACATGTGCTGTATCAATATTTAGTGATGAACTTTAATCAGCAGATCTAAACGAGACGCGGTCATCTGTCCGTCTGTTGGTAATCACTCTCCTTCTTCTTCTGTGGTTCGGTGTCGTCGCTGGTGTAAAGTTTGGAGCAGAGAGGCGCTCGACCTCCGGCTGATCCCTGCCAGTGTTTGGAGTCAAACTTCAGCTGCGTCTGATCTATCGGCCGCTGTGTTTAGGAGCAAACCTTCAGCTACTCACTCAGCACACACACAATGGATCACACACCGGGGATACAGTGTGTGTGTGTGTGTGTGTGTGTGTGTGTGTGTGTGTGTGTGTGTGTGTGTGTAGACCATATTCCTCTTCTCCGTCAGCAGCCAATTGGTCAGCTCATTAGAGGATCATACATCAGAGTGGGCCGGACCTCCTTCCTCTCTCTGTAACTGTGACTCTGTTCACACTGGATCCTCATGAGTCCACATGAGACCAGGATAAGGGGGACAACAGAGTCCTGTCCTGTCCTGCTCTAATCCCCCGTTTAATCCTTCGAACTCCATGATAACAGTGAAACATCAGGACACACATCATGAACAACAAAAAAACACACGCGTTCTCCTTCATCTCGTCAGTGTGAACGAAACACAAGAATACAAACAATAAAAATATAAAGAATTAACAAAATAAAACAAGAAAAGCAACAAACAAAGTGAAGTCAGATGAAATATGAGACAGTGTAAGGATCAAAAACCTCATGTTTCCCTCTATCAGGTGTGAGTGTGCTGTTCCTAATAACATGCACACACACACACAAGAGCGCGTAAACACAGGCATTAATACACACACTCAGAGGAGCTAATGTTTACGTACAGAAACACAAACACACACATAAAGTGTACGTGTAGATGACAATTATACAATCCCACCAACAAACACACACACACACACACACACACACACCACCAGATGTACATGTGTGTCTTGCAGCTGGTTCATGCCTCAGTGTGTGTGTGTGTGTGTGTGTGTGGGTGGGTGGGATGAACTTGCACTTGTACTTGTTCAATGTTTTTAACTTCAAAAGTCACAAAACATTAAACATCCCACCCAGGTGCATCACTGTTTCCTGTGTCCCATGGAAACACTTCCTGTTGTGTTGTGAGTATCTGCCGCTCACTGTCAAACTGATGAAGATGTTTTGCTCGTGTTTTGTCTGTTTGCGAGCTTCAGGGCCACCGTACTTTTCCTTGTTGAACCGTCATGAGTCTGATGATCTGGGGGGGGGGGGGGGGGGGGGGGGGGTTCTGCGGCCGNTGCTGCTGCTGCTGCTCCTTAAAGCTCAACACAGAATCACAAATTTCTACACACAACTGACTCAGAACCTTCTTATTCTGTCACTGTACACTCACACACACACACTCACACTCACACACACACACACTCACACACACACACACACACACACACTCACACTCACACACACACACATACACACACACACTCATACACACACTCACACACACACACACTCATACACACACACACACACTCACACACTCACACACTCATATACACACACACACACTCACACACTCATACACACACTCATACACAC